ATGCCTCCTCCCTTCTGCCTCCTCCACAAGGAAGGGAGGCAGCTTGAAGAGGAACCATATGGCCTAGCTTCCCAGCTTCCACAGAGACACACAGGAACAAGACCTCATCTCCCAGCTACTCTTGCGGCTGCAAATATTTACATCCACATACGTCCCTCTATGCCATATTTTTGCCTCAAGCAGCCTGGGAGTTTATCCTCACCAACTGGGAGGAGGTGAGGCCTGGTTAAGGAGGGACTTGCCTTCTAGGGGAGCTGTTGACAATCTCGCAAAAATTAAAGAGGGTCGGTTGGTATGCGAGAGCCAATCTCCTCCCCTTTTAAGCTGCTGCCAACCCAAGGCAGGATGGAGAGGAGAAAAAAGGGGAGGGGGGGGGCAAAAAGGAAAAAACAACATTCAAGCCCAGAGGAGGCTTCTTTCTGTTCTTTCTGAGTCAAACACACTGTGCCCAGGTCAGCTGAGCTCTTGGCCTTGTGGACTCAAAGGGAATGCAGTTCAGCCCATCACTGCAATGGGGCTGGATGCGGCTTCTCTGCAGGCAGGGCAGCTCGGCCATGGGGCGTGGGAAACTTCAGCCCAGAGAGTCAGAGAGAATCCAGGAGCCAGGACAGAGCCAGTCACCAGGGTCCCACTCCACCCCACCCTCCACCTGGGCTCCTCATAGGGAAAGTGCTAGGGAGGGGCTTTCCCCTTTGAGGCATGGTCAGTCAAGGGAGCAGAATGGGCAGCATGCTAAGACCCAGAGGATGCTACTTTGTAGGCTGGTGGGCTGGGGACAGCCCCCTATCCACCCACCCCCGGAGTGCTGGGTCCTGCAGAGGGACACTGTACAGCATCCCTCTCTGAGCCTTGGTTTCCATTCTGCTGAATGGGCAGTCTGGCCCGAGCTTTATGCCTCTTGGAAAGGTGGGGAGCTAGTGTGGAGCAAAGAGACCAAGGGTGGGGCCAGGAGGGCTGTTGTGTGGAAAGGTTGAGGTCATCATGGAAGTAGGATCCTCCACCCTGTTCCCTGGCCACCCTCCAGGGTCTGGTCTGGATCCAGCCTGAGCAGGTGACATAGGGAGGTTGCTCTGAGCTTCTTGGTGATGGGTGTTCATAGTTCCAGTCTCATTGGGTGCTGAGCAGATTCCACGAGACCTCGAGAAGCTCTTGGCACATCTCAGTGCTCAGTAAATGGGAGCTTTACTGTTGTAGCTGTCACTGTTAGCATTTTCATTTCCTTCCTCAGACTCACTCAGCACTCACCTGGCCCCTTCCCCATGGCTCTGAGTTTGCTCAGCATTGCATTTCCACTGATTCATCCACCCCCTCCCCCCCATCCATCCAGACAGAGAGATAGACAGCCATATATCCTCCCACCCACCCATTCATCCATTCATCCATCCATCCATCTACTCATTCTGAGCTGGGAAGTGCAGGCAAGGCATCCAGCCCTAGGCTTCCCTGAACAAGAGCATAGGGGAGGTTATTTTTACTGCACCATCCCTGTCACTCACCACCATCTGACTACATCTCATTCTGGACTCAGAAGCAGACTATAGCTGCCTGCTAGGCATTGGGTTAGAGGATGCAGACCTGACTTGATTCACAAAGGGCTGACCATTTGGCCTCCTCTGGGTCTGCCTTGTAACTTACATTTCTCTTTGGGGATTTTGTGACTATGAATATCCCCACGGTGAAGTAGCTCCCTCTTCTTTAAATAGAGCTGGGATGAGACTTGCATAGCCTTGCATTTCCACTGATTCATCCACCCCCCCATCCATCCAGCCAGACAGACAGCCATATAACCACCCACCCACCCACCCACCCACACATTCATCCATCCACGTACTCATCCTTCTATCTACCCATCTATCTATTTATTCATCCATCCAATCATTGATCCATCCATCCATTTATTCAACCATCCACCCATCTATTCATCCATCCATGCATTCATCCTTCCATCAACCACCCACTTATCCACCCATACATCCATTCATCTATCTATTCACCTATCCATCCATCCATCCATCCACTCATCATTCTTCATTCACCCATCCACCCATCCATTCATCTACTCATCCAGTCACCCACCAACCCATCTATTCATCCATCCATCCATCTGTTATTATACCCTTCCACCCATCCACTCATTCATCCATCATTCATCCATCCACTTATGCATCTATCCCACTGTCACCCACTCATCCACCCATTTCTCTAGTCATCCACCGAGCAGTCAAGGGGACTCCTATGTACTAAGAGAAAAGGCCAAAATGGTCTGTAGGCATGGCTTTCCCACCCACCTCCAACTAGTGTCATCTCCCCCTCTGGCCTCCCTCCAGCTCTCTGGTCATCCTGAAGGCTCCTGAAAGCCTGAAGGTGAGACCACCTCAGAGCACCCTACCTGGAATGCTCTCCCCACCTCCTAGGTGCAGCTCCTAACTGGCTCCCAGAAAGCAGGAACAGGGCTGTCCTGAGCACTTGTGTAACCCCAGAGTGGACCCTCATAGTATTTGTAGGAAGGAGGAAGAAAAAGTGGGGGAGGTGGGAGGAAAGAAAAGAGGGGAGGTCCCTGAATTTCTCCATTCTACCCACCCTGCTGATAGCAATGGTCTCTGAAGGGAACAGCTCTGGGACCAAGAGGGACCAGCCCAGCACCCCCACGTCCCTGCACCACCTCCAGCTGCAGCCGCTTCCTCCTCAGTTCCTTATCTCCCAGGCCACCCAGCTCCAAAAGCCACAGCCAACGTCCGCTTCCCCACAGACACCAACTGCCTGGCCGGTGGGGGGCGGAGGGAGGGTGGGGACAGCGGCAGGAGGGGCAAAGAGCAGGCAAGCACCTCCAAGGTGGCCACCGAGGGGCCAAGGCAGACCTCACTCCCCATTCATGGACAACTTTCTTCTCTTTCCAACCCAAACTCTGTCAACCCCAATAATTAGAAAACCAGGCAGTACAGAGACCTCGTCATGAAAGTGGAAGTGTTCCATCTGAGGGGGTGCGCCCACAGGTGCAAGACACCCAAACAGCTGCCTGGAGCTGGGAGTGGAGACTGCCCCACCCAGGCTGTCATTCTGTTGCCTTCACAGAGGGCTGTGTCTCTCCAAGACCCCTCAATTCCCTGCTCTGAAGCCCCCCCCCCCCTTGAGTCCTGGAAAACAACAATGACAGTGACAAGAATGCTAATGCCAGCTGTCAGTCACAGCTGTGTTTCTGAATGCAGATTGTGTGGCAGACCATGCTCAGCATTTCAGTGCAGTCTCTTCTCCCAGAAACAGCCTGGCAGCTGGGACCACTGCAATCACCAAGAAAGACATCGGCCAGGGAAGGGCGGCCAGAATTAGCCCCTGGTCCCCCAAGGCCCGGATTCTGAATCCCACTCTAAATCAGAGCATGGAAAGTAAGGAGAGGCCATAAGGACAGTGGTGCTGCCCAGGAACTGGCTGGAGTCACAGGACGCTGCTCTCCACCTGAGCCCCAGAGGCGTGTGGGGAGGCCATGCAGGTGGCGGCAGTCCCTTCCAGGAACAAACACAGTCTTGTCCCTGCAAGGACTCTAGAAGGGTGCCCAAACCGCTGTGACAGGACTGGCCTCTGGGGAAGGACAGGGGAGGGGAAGTGTTTACTTTTCTCCATACTCGCTTCTGCATTGCTTGAATTAGTGCAGGCATCACCTAAACACTCAACTAAATTAAATCAAAATAGCCCAGAAGCCTGTGTGCCAGCCCTGGGTCTACAGGTGGCACCCTGTGGCCTGGGTGAGGCTGATGAGCCTGCAGCTGTGGTTGGTCCCCAGGGAGCCAGCCTCAGGGCCAGCAGAGGGACATGGGTAACAGGGCACATTGCCTCCTTGGTGAGGCCACTTGTCATAGGGTGTCTTCCCTCAGTTGTGACTTTTTAGTGCCTACGATGTGCTTCCTCTTTACTAGTTAGGTGCCCAGTGTCTGAGTGATCACAGAGGGCTCTGACGTGGCTTATGGAACCCCTCAAACTGGGGAACAGCCCCAACTGCCCAAATTCCATCTGTAGGCCAGAATTAGCCCCTGTTCCCCCAAGGCGTCCATTGGAAATGGATGTAAGGGTCTCCAAGGAGCTCCCAGCCAGGAGGTCAGGACCCCCACAGCCCTGTGCAGAAATCCAAGCACATAGAGGGGGTTCCTGGCCTGGCTTAGCAGGTGGTACTTCCAGGGTGGGTGTGGCCAGGAGCCTCAGGCAGCTGGGAGGAGCCTTGAGTGGAGAGTGGAGCCTTGAGCTGGACCAGAACTCACCTTGAGGTCACGCTCAATGGCCTACAGACCACTGGCCCCAAGAAGGAGGCTCTGGGAAAAGTCTGGCTGGAGGTGTCGGCGGAGAGCCCCAGACCACCCCAGGCCAAAGGCAGGGCCAGGTCCAGGAAGGTGGGGAGAAAGGTAGTCGGGGCTGCAGGTAGAGGACTCAGCCAAGATGACTCCATGTGCTGACCTGAGCCCCCACCCAGGTCGAGGAAACACCCAACAGGCCAGGGCTTGGGTGGGGTGTTACCGGCTTGCGGCAGGAGGAAGTTGTTGGAAATCAGACCGGAATAGCCGAGAGGGAAGACTGGGCAGGGCCGGGCCCAGATGGTTCCTGTTGAGGAAGCCGTGGGCACAGCTGCACGGCTGCTTCCCTGTCTCCCAGCCACACTATCGCAGTGACACAGCTGGCTGCCTTGCCTGCAGGCTGCAGGGAGACCGCCCCCACCGCCTGCCTCCCCAAGTCCGCCCAGAATCACATGAGCCCCTGCGGCCGCCCGCCCCTTCCCCAGGCAGGCAGCGCGGCAGCTAGAAAGCCCTGAGCTGTCTGAGGGACAGAGGCCTCTGGCTCCCCGAAACTCCAGCTGACCAGGGCCTCTCATCTGTCCCTTGAGGCCCCACCTACTCAGTAAAGGTGCTTATAGTCAAGCTCAATCCCAGCCTCACGCCGGCCCCTGCGGGCCCCTGGAGGGCTGTCTGCCTTGCACCCAGGTCAGGATTCAGTCTCCCGGATCCATCTTGAGCTCCATGTCCCACGCATCCCTGGTCCTGGAGAGCAGGGTCCCGGCGTCCACCCGCTGCTCGGCTCCCCGGGGTCCCAGGAAGGGCGGCCCAGGTAAGGGGGTATGGGGGAGGGAGAGCAGCTGGAGCAGGTGGCTGGGAAGAGTGACATCTCCAAGCTGCTGCCTGCCCAGCTCTGTTGACAGCTAGAGCCTGCTGTGTTGACTCACCTCAAACAGCCACACAGTCTCCTCCCCACAGGGCACCTCCCGCACAGCTGGGGCAGGTGGCTCAGGGAGGACCCACCAGGTGCCGGGCTGGGTGTGTGGGCCCCATCCAGAGGCAGAAGCTGGAGGCAGGGGCTCTGAGTCCCGTATGGGAGAGTGGGCTCTGTGCAGATAGATGGCGGGGGGGGGGGGGGGGGGCGCGGGGGGGAGACACAGAGCCCTTCTCCTGGGAGACACCAGGATGTGGAGGTTGGATGTGGAAACTGAAGCCAATGGGGAGAGGGCCTGGCCCAGGGCCCCAGGAGCAAGTGATGGTCCAGACCGGACCCTGGCCCTGCCAAGGAGCAGCCCTTCCAGGGCTTCTGCCCTTTGCGGTCAGTGCCAAAGGGAAGTGGGAGCATTGGAGAACCTGGCCTCTGTCCTTCCTAACACCCCTGACTCCAACTGGTAGGTCCTTGGGGGCCCTGCAGGACCTCATCCCAGGGCACAGGGGCTGGCCAAGATGCAAACAGATGGTTCCTTTCTTAATCCACAGCCACGTGGCCACACGCCAAGGAGCCCTAAACCTTGCAGAGCTCACAGCCTCCAGCTTCATTGGCTACAGTCATCCTCAGGGTCACACAGGCCCCTTACATCCATCCTCAGCACCCCAATCCAGGGGCAGCCCTGCCTCCTCTGCAAAGAGACCACGTTCCCTGTGCAAGTCCCCACCTGCCACTGTCCAGCGGCCCAAGGGCCAACTCCCTGAGTCTGGGGCTCTGTCATCCACCTCGGATGCATCCAAAGCTAGAATGGCCTGGCTTCATACCCAATAATGAGCATCTGTTGGCTTCTCCTAATTGTGGAGAAGATGCTACAGGAAGGCGCCAGGTTGCTGGCTCTGGGAGGTGCTCTGGTCTTGCTGGACCGGAGACTCTGGTCGTGTCCAGCTCCTGATGGGCACCACACAGCCACCCCCTCCTTTTCTTGGGCAACCCTGCCTGACCCACTGTCCCAACCAGCAGCTTAGTTCTGCCTTCCACCACGGTGCCCAGGGCCAGCCCTTCCTCACCTGTGCCTCAGTTTCCTTATACATCAAACTCCATCCTTCCGCTTCCTGAAGGAGTGTAAGAGTGGCTCTCAAAGGCAGGCCAGGAAAGAAGGGTGAGGGAGGGTGAGGCATAACTGAGAACTGCTGGCTGCTGTTGTGTTTGGATGGTGGGATGGGAGGGGTATTGACCTGTGAAAGACTATGAAGCCAGGGGGTGGCCATGAATCCAGCTGCACTCAGTGTCACCGCCATGTTGGTTGGGCTGCAGGCGTCTGGAGCAGATGGTCTGGGTGGGCCTCTGACTCAAAATCTCAGCCATCGGTTTATTGACCCCATGGTCACTGTGCTTGGGGGAAGGGGCTTTACTGGGAGGAGGCAAAGCTGCGCGCATTTGGCTAGTGAGTTGGGTTGAGGACTTACGTGGGCGCGGAGGTCCCAGCCTGTGACACTGGCTTTTAGGAGCTCAGTTCCCATCTTCTGTAAATCACCTGGCCCCAAAGACAGCCACAGCCACACCAGGAGACATGCTCTCCCCTAGGGATCTCCAGGGGAAACATTGGGCTCTGTGATGGCGGGAAGCAGCACCGGGGGAATAAGCAGTGGGCTGCAGGGAGCTCTCTGAGGCCCTGGGGTCAAAGAGTCCAAGACAGGCCTTAGGGCAGCATAGCTCCACCAGGCAGCTTCTCAGCCTGCCATCTTCCCAGGAGTCTGTGGAAACCTTTGAGATCCAAAACCATGGTAAGTGACTCTAAACTATGAAAAGAAGAGTAACTCATCCTGTTAAAGCTGAAGTGTAAGGTTCTTTCTGTTTGAGAGCAAATATATACACGCACTGCCCTGTGCCTTCCTGTTTGGTAGGCGGTGAGGGAGGAGGGCCTTCAGGACTGAGGACGGGGGACAAGGAGACCTTTGCCTCTCTGACCATCAGATCCCTTGGCTGAGGGCAGGGCAGCCCTGAGCAGCCTCACCCTTCACGGGCCCATCCCGTCAGGAACCACCACCCTCGTCAGCCCCGGTGGCAGAGGGTCCGGAGCCATCAGAACCCACATTGTTGTGGAGCCTCTAGGACAGGTGAAAACCCAGGGGAGGAAGGAGAGTTTGCTGTGCTCAGATTTATTAGGCACCTACTGTGTTTACTGGGAGCTGTGCAGGGACTGGGGGCTTGTCCCCACAAGTCCACTTTCCAGATGAGGAACCTGAGGCCAGGGTGCTGTGCTGCACAGGAAGGAACAGTGGGAACCAGGGTGCTGGCAGAGGTGCTTGGAATGGAGGCCTGAAATCTGCTCATGATTTAGCCTGAAGCACAGGAGGCTTGTGTGTGTGTGCGCGTGCACACACGCACGGGGGGTTAGGGAGAGGGTTCAATGTACTGTGACCACCCTGAGACAGGCCTGTTCAGTGCTACCTGGGTAGCAGATTTCAGCTTAAGCACTAGATAGTGAGCATCCATCACTGAGAGTCCAAGCAAAGGCAGGAAGCCTGAAGCTGCCAGAACCCAGCCTTGGGTCACCTGGTCTGAGGGTGGGGTTCAGAGGCCACCATAGTCACTAAATGGCATGGACTCTCCTCCCTACCTGGCCCTCTCTCCCTGTGCTCTTCCTCTTCCTCTTCCTCCAGTTGCTTGCTACCCGGGCACAGGCTTTCCTCTGGAAGGTGCTCTGCCTGGAATGCACTTCCTGCGGTAGAAATTTTCTGGAGCCGCCACGACAAGTTACCACAAACGGTATGACTTGGAACAACAGACATGTGCAGAGCCCCCGTCCCTCCTCCTCCTGGCAGCAGAGTCTGAGATCCAGGCGTGGGCAGGGCTGCGCTCCCTCCAGAGGCTCTAGGGGAGCATCCTTCCTGCCTCTTCCAGTTCCAGGGGCTCCAGGTGTCCTTGGCTTGTGGCCACATCACTCCAATCTCTGCTTTCGTCATCACGTGGCTTCTCTGGCTGTGTCCCTGTGTCCGCACCTCTTATAAGGATGCCTCATTGGATTTAGGGCCACTTCAATCTAGGTGACCAATGCTGCAACTGTTCTGCCAGCATTCCAGGCCTGCACAGGTCATGCTGTCACAGCTCATGGCTATGCACTAGTCACCTGACCCCCAGCTGCAAGGAAGGCTGGGTGCCACCAGGGGAGTGGGGCAATCTGAGTTTCTGCCCCACTTTTTTTTAATTTAATTTTTTAAATTGATTTCAGAGAGGAAGGAAGAGGGAAAGAGAGATAGAAACATTAATAAGGACAGAGGATCATTGATCGGCTGCCTCCTGCACACCCCACACTGGAGGTCAAGCCCACAACCCAGGCACATGCCCTGACCAGGAATTGAACTGTGACCTCCTGGCTCATAGGTCAACGGTCAATCACTAAGCCCCGCATTTTATTCAGCCCCTGCCCCTGTGGGGAGATGGTCAACTATGGACGATGGCAGATTCACACAGGGAGGGCTCAGGGCATCTGGGATTAGAGTGTAAAGGGACATCAGAGTCACAGCCTCTCTCTGCAATGAGGGACTGAGGACAAAGCCCACAGTGACCATCTGACCTGTGACATGGCAATGACTGTCACCCGTGTCTGTGCTGTTAGTACTCATTTGGTTTTGCCTGCGCTGTCGCTCTTGTCTCTACCCTGCTCACTCACTGCAGGGCTTCTCCCCACCCTCAGGCCTGACACAGTGCCAATGTGACAGACCTCATCTCCCACCTCCTGTTCCCTCCAGTTGGCCACACAGTGCCCGGGGCTGAGTGAGGATCACAGCTCGAGGCCTACCAAGCTGCTGTGACTGCTGTCACAGAAGATGCCAAGGTCCTGAGGGGCACACAGCAGGCAAGAGCAGAGGTGCCATTGAACCACTCTGCTGACCCTGCAGAATGGATGCAGAGCACATGGAGGGGGGGGAGTGGCATTTAGGGTGGAAATCTGGCCCCAGAGCCCCTGTCAGGTCAGGTGGTCCTGGCAGGAAACCTGTAGCTCAAGGACAGGGCAATGGAGTGTGGACAGCTGGCAGAGGATCCATTTACAGAGGTCTAACAGGGTGGCATGGACACTACAGAAGTCTGGGGAGGGAGTGAAGAAGGGTAAGAAGAGGGCCAGGAGGGGCAGGGGAAGAAGGGGCTGATGATAGCCAGGGAGTCAGGAAGCTCTCAGGAGAGTGGATTGCAGAGCAAACATCCTCTTTTCCCCGTCCCAACCCCTCGCGTCTCCCGAAGCCCCCTGGACAGTCCCCAGGCACAGAGCAGAGACATGTGGGCTCAACTTCAGGACAAGTGGATGCTCTGGACTGAGGCACAGCCGATTCCATGTGCAGAGCCCCTGCCCCAAGTGCAGGGCCCCACCCGGTGCCCTTGCATCGGGAAGAAGAGGAAGCGTGTGGAGGGAGGCTCTGCGCCACCCCAGATCCCGGGAAAGCGGGTCTCCTCTCCCCTGATAAATGTGGAGTGCTCTTTCCCTGGACCCGCAGTTTCTGCTAAAACGTGCCCGTTCCTTCCCCACCCCTCAAGCCTGCAGGGTAAGCCTTCTGGGCCGGCCAGCAAGGGGATCCTGATTACCCCTGTCTTCCCCATCCATTCAGACCCGAGTCTGAGCCTAAGAAGACAGAACCACAGGGGAGGTGTCACCCAGGGGGACAGGGTGCAATCCCAGTCAGCTTCCTGGAGGAAGTGTTCCCCCAGAGGCAGCTGGAGGTGGCCAAGAACACTTTCACTTCTTGACTCATACTGACCGAGAAGAAGGGCGCCCTTCACCTGCCGGCCCTGGGCCGCGCGGGGCTTTTTCATGCACTTTCACTTCCGTGACTGCACTTGACCCGAGGACGCACAGCCGGGAAGAGCGGCCGGGGAGAGGTGACCTTCTGTACTTGGCCCGGGGAGCG